CCCCCGCCCCCGCCCCCCCTCCTGTCACCCCCATCCAACCACGTCGTCCTCGCTCCAACGTATCGCGATTACCGGCTCCCAATTTCCGGTTCTAAGCGACAACTCCCGGAGGCGGACGCGATCGTCTTTCAAGAAGCACTTAAAGGTAGGGAACGATAAAGGACAGTGCAATAAGAGAGCACTGCTTCCGACACTCGCGTCTCTCGGCGAGGACGGGTTTTTTTTCTTTGCCGACGTATACGGAATAAAAAGAGAATGGAAGAGTTATCAATGAGTTATGAATCAGCCGCACACTCTTGGCATCAAATGCAAGCGCACTTTGTTATCGGAGTTCAGTTCTCGTTTTCCAAACATTCGCGCCAATCGCACTGGCATACAAAAAAATAAAAATTATTTTTCTTTTCTTTATAAAATTACTAGCAATTTTCATTCAAAATGGGATGAAAACATGCCACCATAATGTTTTTATTAGCTCTGACTTGCAAAAATTATATCAAACTCCTTTAACAAAACAAAATACTTAATTTTGTAAATTATTATGCGAGGGAATTTAATATAACAAAATTCTTGTTTATTATAGTTAATATATTGAACAAATATAAGTAAAATATTATAATGAGTTATGAAAAATTGTGTTTTTCGTTCAGGCCAATATATAAATGTTTTGATCTACTTACTTGAATATTTCTGTTTTCTTTTCCTTTTTCTTTGCATTTTACTTCTAAAACATCTCTTATCACAATTAGTAGTTAGCAAACATAAGTGCGAAATTGAATGTTTTTTTTTAATTTTAAAAGAAGCTACATTATGAAAGCGAGAGCTAGAGCCCGATTGCACCAACGTTATTTTAGCTTTAAGCGAGACTTAAATATATGTCTATCTTTATTTTTCTTTCTAAATAAATAAAGACAGATATATATTTAAGTTTCGTTTAAAACTAAAATAATATTGGTGTAACTGGGCCTAAGAGGTTTAAATGTCACATTTTTTATATCAAAATTAATAAAAATTTGCTAAATTATATAATATATATTTCTAAATTTCTATATTGCTAAATTATATAATATATAATTATATAATATATATTATAATAAATATTAATTAATATATTTCAAATATTTTCAATTATATAAAATATTTTTATCATGCACTAATTATTTTCTAATTGTGCTCCTTCTCTCTCTCTCTCTCTCTTTTTCACTGTTAAAATTTGATAACTCTATAATATAAAATTAGAGACATAAAATTAAAGATTCGGAGGAAAGACGGATTATAAATCCACAACTTGCCAAGCGTACCTTGGAGAAAATGTAAAGCGATACTTGTGAATTATGAGATTCAGTCTACTTCTGTCCCGAATCCTTCGAACACAGGATGTACTTATTTTGAATGAACAAGAAGGGAATCGATCGATGATTCTCTTCCTTAAGATCGGAAATCGACAGATATTTTTCGCTGTCGCACAGGAAGCCAGGTAATCTGCAAGAAACTCGCAGCTTAACGAAACTTATTGCGCGAGGATTGAAGACGCAGTAAACGTAGATTTCGCGCACGGTGATTAATCTGGCCACAGAGTATATTTACCTTCACGTGTAGGAAATAAAAATGTCGTAAAGATGACTCTCACGAATTTTTCTCATGCAAAATGCGATATTTCGTGTCGACTCGCTATTTACCATAGTTATTTGGTATGTATTTTTTCGTCTTGCTTTATATATATCTCTCTCTCATTTTATTTCCCTGTCTTTTTTCTACTCCAGATTAAATATTCACGAGAGAAAAAACGGGGACAATTTTTCTGCCGCAGTGACGAATTTATTTCGCAAATTTCGTTTAGCGAGGGCGCGTGTTCCTGAACAAATAATAATTTGAGGAAAACTGTAATTTAAGCTAAACCACTTTTTACCTCTTAGCCACCTACCATGCCGCTAATTAAGGCACTCGAAATTAATTAAAGCTATTCTTAAACGAGTATATATCTATTAAAGGAATCTGAAAATATAATACAATAATTTTTCTTATATGTACCTTATGTCACGTATCTTCCGTTTAATTATGTGTCATGGTAATCTCAGCTGACGGTAAAGAACGGAGGTAAAGAGATCGTTGGATGTTGAAAATGTTCCGGAATAAACTTGTCCCTGGAGAATGACGCGTGTGTCTCTCGTATAAAGTCTAACTAGAGCTCATCAGACCGGTCAAGGGCTAAATTAATCCTACGCTGACTGGAGATTTTTGGGAGGGCAATTCGTGGAATCCCACGAGACGCAGAAAAATCGTCGATGATTGCGCTTTATTTGCCCCACCATCGTTTTATTCGAAACAAGCGGAATCGCGAAACAATTTTGACAATTGCCGTAATTAAATGCGAATAAACAGTCGTCGCTTCGTAATTTTAAGGATATTATCGCACTTCTATTACTCACCCCCATCTCGTTTTCCCCGCGTTTTCGCGGCGACTCTCGTGTATTCATAAATTCAACGCGCGTTTACACACTATTTCGTCCACGTCTACGTAAATAGTCGCACTTCTCATTAATCTTCTCGTTAATTTTGTTTTTTTTGAAAATATTCGTTCAACATGACGTCGATTTCATGATACAAAGTTCCTCGTTGAAGTTGTTGCGGGATGAAACCATCGCGATTCTTTCCCGCCGAAATATTCCACGTCATGGATTATTCCTCGCTTTTTGATTTACAAGAATTTCGCGCAACGTTTGCATTCTCGCAGTCATTCGAAAGGTTCAATAACGCGAGTGTATCGTCGACGCGGAAATTCTTGGTCCGCAAAGGGAGGTTTAATAACTACGAAGGGAGGCAAGACCGATACCGAGATAGATAGAGAACAGAGTTGGAGGGTTTAATATGTACGACATCCTCGGGGCGTTATAATCGTCGAGTATCGATCACGCCGGATACATGACGTAGCCCGCTTCGAGGGAGACTTCCCGTTTGACCAATCAGGGTCCGCTGAAGGATCATATCATACTTGTCATTGCTGATCGTCCGGTGATCCTCGGCTTGTGCGCCACCACTCGACGGTCGAAATCGAAGAGGATTTTCAATCAGAACAGGAATCTCTCTCCGAAATTACGCCCGCAATTTGTCCTTCAACGCGCGATACATGCATGTCGCTTAAGGACTCAGTAGTGTTTACTTTAATGGTGGGAACAAGTTGGTAATTTTTAGAAATTTCTTTTGAAAAATATTAGAAATTGATTTTTTTGACATTTACATATATTTAAACAGTACGTCAGTATTTTTAAATCATGGATGTTTAATATATATTTTTTTAAATTGCTCCTCATATAATTATGAAATGAATAAACTCGGTTTACTTTTATTCAATTAAAAATTTATTTATGAGGTATAACTAATTTCATTAGAGAAAATTGTGTGTGAAAAATAACAAGGTAGTATCGTTTTAAAAATTAAATGTTTTGCTGAAATTTATTCATTTCTTGGAGGTCAGAAAAATATTAATTATTAATTTTTTAAATTCTATTCCAGATTTCTAAAAAAAAAATGTTCTCTTTCATTAAAAGAGAAATAAAAGTTATTCACTTGATTATTTTTTAAGATATCCATCATAGCAACTTTGAAAATCCTGAAAATGTTTCGAGAAAAACGCGTTTAAAATTTTGTAAGCCTATTTAAGGACACGCATTTCACGCTATTCAAAATCATATAACTCCGTCAATATTGTAAATTTTTCAATAAAATTTGAAAGATATATTCTTTAAATATCATACTTCGAGAAAAAAGCAATTTTTTGATCTTTTAAAAGACCAGACCCTTAAGTTTTTTTCTTTTTTCTTCTTTTCTTTTTAAAAAATATTTTATTATTAGTATCAATCTTTATATTTATTAAATTATATATTTTGATAAAATTTGTCAAACTTCCTCTCTCTTTCTCATTTTTTCTTTTTCTTTTTTTCAAAACCATAAGCTAACAATCAGTATTTAAAGGTCTTGGATATTTAGCTTTTTTTTTGTTATAGTCTCTGTACGTATCATGTACAGAAATGAATGATTCGACAATGTGACATGTTGGCCTTCATGTAATTGAAATAAAAGAAACTCCATCTAGTTTTATTCCGTAGAATGTTTTTGAGATACTGAACATAATTTCAATAAAAAAATTGAAACATTGGTAAATGACTGCAAAATTAGATATTGCAATTTTGTTAAATTGTATTAATTTCTTGAAGATCAGAAAAATATCAAATATTAATTTTTTTAAATTCTAATTAGATTCAATATTCCAAAAAATATCCTACGAAACTAGATATAATTTTTTCATTTCAAACAATTATAAGGAGCAACATTTAAACACGCTACTGACGCAGAGACTAGTATTAAACAAAAAAACTAGATTTAATTAATACTAATGATTACATATTTTTATTGATGTTTGCGTATTGTAAACATCAATAAAAACATGTAAAACTTCAAAAAGATTTCTAATATTATCAATTTCAAGCCAAAATCAAATAGATAATTTGACAATTTCTAATATTTTTCAAAAAAAATTCTTAAAAATCATCATTAACTCATACTGCCAGAATAAACTGCTCTTAGGAAAAAAAACACATACACGATCATGATATGCGTGCGATGATTGCACTTTCTCATCACAGACATAACTTCACACATACGAGTACACATACATCATATTTCACTCTTCGTATAAAAATTTCGAAAAATTTCGTACGGTATTTCTCTTTTTTTTTTACAATCGGGGACACGCTGGCAATTGGACAAAACAATATTGACAGATGAAACATTCGCCATAATTCTCACTTCGATAACAGGCGCAGATTTATTGGTCATATGTGTGAACGATGCGTGTGTCATTTCGCCGTCGATGTAAAATATATTCTACGTGTCGCGCGAGAAGAACCGCAAATTGCACGACGTCATTGATCATTATTCGTTATTGCCTGCCATTACGTTACAGTTAACATTAATAATTCTGTTTTCCCCGTTTCTTTTTTCAGAAATACGTCAGCGAAGGATCGACGGTGCGGGACTGCGTGGCTCAGTGCGTGGAGAAAGGTGAGTGTCAAGCTTTCTCATCCGTGACATAAATCCATCTATTTCGCGATCGTAAAAAACAGAAAGAAAAAAAAAGCAAGCTCGTGTGGTACAATCTATCTTCGCGAAACCGTCTCGGTCGCGCTAAATCCACGCTCGTAAATTCCTCGACCGGGTGGCCGGTTGTTTCTACAAAATTTACAGGGGATGAAACGGCGGACCCTAAAAAATTTGTGAAACCGCTGTTATCGGTTACTTCGGGTCGGCGTTTGTTATCCGAAAGGCAGTGGACGCCGACGTCGGCGTCGAAACTCGGCGCCGGATGGAATCCCTCTTCCTCTCTCTCTTTCTCTCTCTCTCTCTCTCTCTTTCACTCTCTCTCTCTCTCTCTCTTTCTTTCTCAAGGATCGAACCGAGCCGCGTCATCGATTTCGGATTTACACCCGCATTGCACTCTTTCTTCATCCTCCTTCACTCTCGAGACAGGAAAGGAGAGAGAAAGAGGGGGAGAGAGAGAGAAAGAGAAAGAGAGAGAGAGGAGAAAGCGTGCGAATCGCTTAAAGGTCCCACAGGCGAACGGTGTTATCGGGTCACATCGTTTTATTGTTTCATTGTGGATGAAGGCCTCATACTTTTCCTCTCCTCGTATTTTTCCGCCGCTCGTTCTTCGACAGCCCCTGTATATCTCTCTTTGCTGATCTTTTTTGTCACATCTGGAAACGGAAACGCCACGATTAATCTTTGTCAGCTACTTTTCCTCTTCATGGTCCTTTTATCTGTCTATATTAAAGCTTCTTAGCTAAATTCTGAGTTTATGATTTCTCTCAAAGATAAAGATTATTGTTTGGAGTTTATTATTCGTATATTGTAACGTGTCAGAAATATAGTTACTCCCGAAATTTCATTCAATGTTTGAAGAGTTTCACGAAAGCATTTGAAACGAGAAAGAGAGACAAAGAGAAGAAAAAAGAGAAATTCTAAAGTATTTAAAAATATTTCGCGAGTCACTTGTATCTTATTCAAATTTACATTTCTAGAATTCCTTATCCCCTCAGCTATTTTCCAACTTCTGTATCCTTGAGTTGAGATGAAACAAGAAAAAAGAAAAAAAGAAATTGTCTTTTTCTTTTCGCACAATCGTAATCGTATATGCGTAAAGTATAAAATATTAAAATGAGAAAAAGAATAAATGTTTACATTAACATACACAGCACGAAACTTTTTTCACTTTTCATTTGACATATATTGCAGAGGATGCATTCCTAAATAATACACGGTTTGAATTTTGTGTTTGCTCTCTTTTGATTTCTGAGATATGCAATTTTGAAATATAATAATAATATTAAAAAAAAGGTTTTTTTTTAGTTCCAATGATCTTGGCATATATTTTTTAGATCATGATCCTCAATAACTTTCGATAAGTTTTCATCATTATTAAGGTTTTTATGATTAAGGTACTTATTATTAAATATTCTCTAGAGATTTAAATATGCAATTATATCAAATTCATTTCTCTTAAATTTTCTTTCGTACAAAAAATTCCAAACTATGTATTTTATAGTTTTACTTTATAATAAAATACATGGTTTGTGGAATTAAAATTAATTAATTTAAATAAATTATAGAATAATTATATAATAATTCATTAATTAAAATATTCATTAATCAAATATTCACTTAGAGATTTAATAAAATATTCATTTAGAGATTTAAATATGCAAGTATATTAAATTTATTTATCTTAAATTTTCTTTTGAAAAGTTCTAAACTATGTATTTTATAGTCTTACTTTATCATAAAATAAAAGAGAAAGAGAGAAGAATGAAGTTCACTCAAAAGCAGAAATTATAATTAGATATTATAATTCAAGCCTAACTTTAATTTAAAATCAGAAATAGGCTCATGAGTTAAGTTAGAATTTTTTTAGATTGAAGATACAGGAGGAAGGACTCTGTCCTTCCCTCGACACTTGTTTAAATATTTATTTTTCATTTTTCATAATATATATAATAAAATATTTAAGATATTTGATTTCATTTCGTATAATATGATATTGAATTGAATAATCAATAAGTTTATCTTTATCCGTAGTAATGGCTAGAAATTCGTAAAATTGCATTGTTACGCTTAATTCGAAATTTCTAATAAAAACCGAACAATAATAATTCCGAATAATTAAATAATTCCGAAACCTGCGATACAATGATAAGTAAACAAAAAGAAATTTTTGGCGAAACTAAGTAATCCAGAAACGTCCTGATAATGACATAATAATCGAGCAAATGTAAACAAAAAAAAGATAAAAGATAAACCCACATATAGGATACAACGAAAAGACGATTCTCTAATCTTGTTTAATTGTTTAATTATAATTTATTTTATCTAATATAATATTTATATTTAATTTTTAATGGCTACCAAATTTATTTAATAATTATTACTTCTATCAAAAGTTATTTTATCAATCATCTTAATTTAATCTTAATAATTTTCTATTTTCTTTCTTATGTTATAGGCATCTGTATCTTTCTTACTCTTTTATTATATATCAAAGCAATTTCTTTCCAGTTTATTTCTAATAAATAAATAAGTAATGATGTATAAGTAAGTAAAAGAGATGTGATATTTCAAAAATGCATATCTCATTGTCAGAAACCAAAAAATCTTCACAAAATTCAAAACCTTATATTACTTAGGAACGTATCCTCTACAATAAAAATGGGATAGAATATTCAAAAGAAGAAAAATTATTCGTTCTGCATAAGTTAATGTAAACATGTACGAGAAAAAGCTTTAAAATAATATTTGGACTCACATCGAGATTTCACGGATCGATTTAATTTCAATAAAACTGCCGAATTGACGATAAATCGGCTGTTTCAGAGGCCTGGAGCACGAGAACGTATTGCTGCCAGCAGGACGGCTGCAACTCCGGGCCGTCGTTGACAGCGTCGTACTTCGTCCTGGCGATCTCGCTGGTGGTCTTCCTGGTGTGCCGGAGCCTCCGTGGCTAATACGTCGTCCCACAAGATCCCGGAGGATCCGAGCGTCACACGGAGCCGCAATAGGTCCTTCAATCACACAAACTTGCACCGGGGGTTGAGGGGTGTTGAGAGTTGCACTTTGCGTCTCAAACGTTTGCGCCGAACGGTCGAGGCTTCCTACGAGGTAGCGGATCTCGCGGAGACGTCGATAGTCGTCCTTCTCGGTCCTTGGATCCTCTCGCCAAAGAGTCAGATTACATTTCGTTATTTATTTGACTGACGTACATCTCGTACCAGCGTGCTTTCTCCTCTTTCCTCGATATCGACGCTTACTAAATCAAAATTCACGACAGTTGAAGTCTAGTTGGAGTGCGTATTATATCGATGGTGTTTGAGAAAAATTTCACTTCATACGATCAGATTTGCACAACAGTTATCGGTTGGAAATATGCCTCGTTCACCTGTTGCTCTTGTCGACCCACAGATTGATCGATTTCCCTTTGTTTTTTCGGTAAAACGTTGCTGTAACGTTTCGCAAAATTAATGCCTCATAACAACTTTACACCCGTTTATTCATATTATGCGGATATAGCATTCAAATATTTACTCTTCGATATTTGTTTTATGTTTCTTTTCAAAACTCTTGCTCTTCAAGGTCTTCTTTCTAAAATATCATGAGATGTCGAAAAAATTCAGAGAATATAATTATTCTATTTCCTAAAAATTCAATTTTTCACGCAAATTTTTAGATGGCGTTTAAAAACCGTGAATAATCAATATTGCATACCACGATTATTTCCGAATATTATTCTTTAATTAATAGAATGGAAAATGCCCTTGATAGAAAAGTCTCCTCAGGTCGGATTCGAAACTTCTCTTGGCGAGTGTCGTTTAAATTAAGACACCATTTTCGAGATCGTTATCAAATTTTTGCAAGCTCGTAACGATATTTTTCAAATTTTACCTCCAAATAATGTTAATTATTAAATGAAAATAACATATATAAAGCTTTCTGAAAAATATCTCAATCGATGAAAGGAAATTTTGAAAACAAGCTGCGCACGTGATTTCTCGACAATATTTTTCCTGACGAGTTTTTCTCCCGTTTATTCTCTAATAAATAAATAAATAATGGGAATGATAACGACATATTTAACACTCGCGATTTGAGGACGACAAAGACTTCGAGAGAATAGTCATCATCGTATCACGTTTATCCGCTTTCACGGTCTAGCTTTCATGCGATCCGACTTTGTAGACGAGACTTCCCTCGTGTGATATCCGAGCTTATCTTTTTTTAACACCGTTTCATCATCTCTGTGATTTTTTAGGCATGATAGTTCTTTCGGATTATCCGAATTATTCGATCGATCATTCGAAACTGTTCGAACAATTGAATTTTGAAATAAGAGAATCATGATTTATCCTCGAAAATTTTTATTGCGATTAAAAAGAAATACATTAAAAAAAGGAAACAATTTTTTAATAATTTTAATAATTTTAATAATTTTTTGAAATAATTTAATAATTTTTTAATAACTTCTTCCCACGAGAAATCTACCCTTAAAAAACGACTAAGAAAAATATGGGATATATCCTTGTATATGCACCGTTCTCGGCATCACGATTTTTTTTCTTCGACTTGTCGTCGATCAGCTCTCTGTCGAGGAACGGCATTCTGTCGAGGGTAGTCTTCGGATTGAATTTATTCAAAAAGTTTCGGCGTCCCATTTTTCGTCGGGCGTTTTATCGATGCTTCTTCCAGCCACCCCTTCGGCCTCTCGTACACGCGAGTTTAATAACATCGGGTTGGCGGACCGAAAAAGCGACAATCGAGAGGAGCACAGGAGCCGATTTATCAATATTTCGGACGAACGTCACGCGATGTGTTGGAATTTTATAAATATTTCGACGCATCATACACTCTCCTTTCATTATAGGCTTTTCCAGGCCACATTCTCAAGAGAATATACACCTCTCGCTTTTCCAGGCTACATTCTCAAAAAAATACACACCTCTCGCAATTATTTCATTATAAATCCATTTTAAAGCTCGTATGATTCTTTGAAATTCTTTTCGTGGAAAATCAGCTGTTTAAAGGGATTAAAATGTCCGGGAATGAACGCCTCCAAGCTAAGATACAAATAATCTCACGATACAAATAAGAAAACGATAATCTCATCCATATTAAACGATTTTGAAAAAAGTGAATTTTGCAACTTTTTACTTTTATTAATTTTTCGTACGTCCTTTTTACAATATTTTGAATCTTCGATAAATTTAAAGCGCAGTGCGCCTTTAAAAACATGACACGTATGAAAAAATCGGGACACTTAAAGTTACCGTGATACATTTTAATAAGTTATTTATATCCGAAGGTATCAATGTGACAGGGTGTCAATATTTTATTATTGCCTTTTCACGGACATCTTTTTAAAACAATTATCCCCCTTTTAAAATAATAATCTCTGATAATCCCTAAAATCCCTTTTTAACGCCAAGACGATGTTATCGATTGTATCGTATATCTATGCGAAGTCTTCTGCACGTCTCCTATTATGGAGAAAAAGCGCCATGATGACAAAAAGGATTTGACCTTTCGCAACCCCATTTTTTCCATTAGCCTTGCAAAGCCGATTATTGTTCAAAAGATAAACTTTGTTATCTCGGAAGGAGAAAGCACGCAGTAAGAGAAAACTTATTTGCTTGCATCGTCCGTAAAGTTTTACGCAATTTTGAGTCAAATCAAGAAATATTTTTCTCGAGCGCACGGAAGAGAGACCCTATGCGAGTCTAAAAGTACGAAAAGTGATTTATTAATGCATGACGAATCAAAAAAATGGATGTATTATATACGGAGAAAAAAAAACGCGCATTAAGTTCAATCTTGGATTTCTCTGAATCGTCCGATAAAATAAATATCTCAGAAATTCATCTCTTTTCCTCTCCGGTACGCGATTTATTCTCAGAGATGTCTGTATTAGATTTACTTGAACAAAAAAATTACTTGAATTTTTTTGTACATCCATAAAACGAAGAGATGTTTGCTGTCTGACGACAAACAATTCTTCTCGCTCGGTTTCACTCATTTTTCCCCTTTACGACAGAATATCCCCCACGAGATTAGAAATTTGAGATTGCGAGTCAATTTAACGTAACGATATAAGTCGATCGATATCCAGTTTCTTTTCACCTGATCAAAGACTCTTGGCGAGAATGGCAGAAAGAAAGGAAGGACACTATACGATGACGTTTTCCGCGCGAAAGCCGGTATCGATATATTGGACCATAATCACAATTGTCAACGAAACGCGTAATCAAAGATCGCGGACGTCCCGATCGAGCTGGGATGTACACAATAGTCGGAATCGGAGGCGGCAACGGAGCACAAACAGAAATGTTGCTTCTATGTTGCGCTCGACACCTCCTGGTCGTGTGGGATACGAAAAAAGGAAGAGAGTAAGAGAGAAAAAGGAAACCCAGAAGTGGATTAAGAATAAATAAATAACGTGGTTAACTTACATACAGATAACGTTTAACAGAGAGGAGCACAGTGAGGATAACAATAATGATGTTATTATTATTATTAATTATTATTATTATTACTATTACTACTATTACTATTACTACTATTGCTACTATAATTACCATTATTATGAAATACTGTGCATCACACCGAGCATACATATAGTACATAGTTACGAACGATTAGGCAAAATGCGAGCAAGTGGAGTTGTCGATTATTATGTATAACCGCTTTAAGTAGCCTTATAAATTGTAATTAAAAAAAGCGCGGATAATCTATATACCGGGTGACGCGAGAGAACCCGACGGTGTATTTCGATTTCACGTGAAAACCCCCATTAATTAATTCGAGACTCTCCATACGACACATTGCAGCAATATTGCGGCAATATTGCAATAATATTTCCACAATATTATTCGCAGTATTGCTTCAATATTGCGACAATATTGCAGCTTTTCTTCCAATTTTTTCGATTTCTTTCAAAATCAATGACAAATCGAAGTGTCATCTCCGTTATACAAATTCAGACTTTTCGTTTTATTTCCCGGGAGGAAGAAGGGAGTTTCGGTCTCTCTTGCGTCACTCGGTACATCAGCGTATTGGATCATGCGAGCAGGTAGGCAAGAAACTAAGAGAAAATTCCTAAAAAGTAGCGAGATTCATCTTAGCGGATAAGCAGCGAGGACGGATTACGAGTAGCGAACAATCTGTCGTCTGTTCGCAGGAAGAAGCGTCCACCTCGCCGGCGACACGAACTTCCGAAAGACATCTTTCTTTCTTTCTCTCTCTCTCTCTCTCTCTCGCAAGCGGAGAGATGGTCGCGAAATACTCAGAATATTGAAAAGAAGAAAAAAATACCTCGCGAAAGAATACCCCTTTGCGTGCAAAACGAATAACGAATAATCATTGCTCGCGCAAACGAATATTGAATATTTTTATTCGCACACATACACACACAAATACACGTAACGAATGATGAACAATCTTATTCGTTATTCGAGAGATCGTACCTAATCTCCAAGTATCCGAAGTAATCGAGTCGCCGCATCTCGATCCTCGTCTTTCGGATCCTCGTGTCGAATTTCGGGGACGGGACTAACTCTGTTCTCGCAATTTAGGGGCAGATTTATCTAAAGTTAGCACGAATTTAGGGTATAACGTTAAAGCTAATCTATTTCCCGTCTATCGTACCATCGGCCGATCTAAACGTCGATTGTTATTGTTGGAGGCGCGGCTACGAGCTGTAGCTCGGAATTAATCGTTGACGGGGCGCCGGCTCGCATCGACTTAGTATAATTAAGTGCATGGGATCGATAATCCCCTTTCCCCCTCGCCCGATCCCCTCTTCCTTTCCTCACCGATGATTAATAGCCCGATCGCAAAATCGCGCGTATCGCGCGCGATTAGGCGCCTCGGCGGGGATCGCCATTAAAGGGTACGCGACGCTTTGTCGATTACGTCGTTCGAGTTACACCTCGAGTCTCGTTCGAATTTCAATTTATTAGCTGCTGATCGCGCGCATCTCCGTTTGTCGCGGATCAAACGCCGATAAACGCCGTCTTGCTTACAAGGCCCCGTGCATACTTTCGTCTCTGAAATACTTTTATAAACTAGCACAGCATCCGAAGCATCCGAATCGAACACCTGTGTATCACCTGCGCGGATTTGCCTCTTGATAGTTAGATACTCTGCGAATTTCTTAGAGCTGTCGCCGAAATCGAGATCTCATTTGATTTGACTTCGTGACAAAGGCGTGATACGTGTAATTTTGATTTTCTTCTTTTTTTTTTTTTTTGTAATTTGCACGCGATTTTCCTAATTTTGATCGGAATCCCGTGGGAGTCCGAGAAAAATAATGTGTGTAACGCTGACCGATTGATTTTTGCCAGAATCCGTTTCTCTCCCAGAGCAATTTCTCGAATCTTGAATACCTCGAATCGTCTCGCTCTAAAAATTACATTAGGTAGGAACGAAAGAGGAAGAGCTAACAGGAAACGCGCACAGAAACATCACGGACATTCACACGATAACAGAGAGATTCATAGGCGATTTTTCTTAGTACTTTAAGATTTTACTATATATCGCGGAGGGAACGCGCTCGATAATAATTCTTCATCGTTGCAAACTCTATCAGCTTCTGCCGGCAATAAGATCGTGCGAAGAGACATCGCTCTGTCGGATTACTCGGCCTCTCTCGATCACCAAACAACGATTGATTTTGACAAGAGATAAATATTTTCGCGATATAAATTGCGTTCACGTTGCCAAATATTTAAATTGATTAATCGGACTGATGGAAAAGGTGTTAGTACAATCAACATTCGTTTCGCTACAAGAACGATTCTGTCAATTTTGTCGATGTATAAAAATTGATGACGACTACCAGGCCGAGTGATCTGCGCGATAATTTTATTAGAGTTATATATATTATATATATACATATATATCTATGTGTATATAAGTATATATATATATATATATATATATATATATAATATACACACATACATAAAAAATATGCATATGTTATATATATTATATGATATTATATTATATGAGAAACTATGTCATATTGCATTACATTATATATTATATTATTCAGTTAAGCAGAATCATATGTATGACGAGTTGTACATTTATATTAGACACACACAGACGCAATAATAAAAACTATACCCCAAAATGTATACGCGCCTACGATATTCGATATTCTTTACCACAAATCCCATGCAGCACAGAATATTGCAGCAATATTATTAATATTATTGTAACATCGCAGCAACATTGTAATATTGCAGAAATATTACAATGTTGTTGCAATGTTGCAATAACATTGCAATACTGCCGCAATATTGCTGCAATGTTTTGTGCTGTATGGGATGACCCCATACAGCACAGACCAATGTTATTACATTGCAGCAATATTGCAGCAACATTGC